GCACCAGATTGCTCAGTTTCCATTTCAATTGCAGACTATTCCAAGACAGTGGAGCTGCCTGATAAGAGCAAGCTGCAGGGTCAAGGAGTTTGAGTCTGAACTAAATGGGACTCTAGAGAGATACTGCAACATAAAGGATTCATACAAGTTTCTGAAACTCTTTATGTTTCAGAATGGAGGATGAAATAAGGCCATCGCTTCTGTGATAAGGCCTTTGTGAGATGCTCAATAGAACATACTACATACAGTAAACGGTTGCTCTATCTTTTTTTAATTACTTTTGTGTGATATAATACAATAATCAGAGCCTATTCAAAGTGTTTTCTCATGAGCGTGGATGATGTGCACTCTTCTGATCTCTTTTTATTCTGCATTCACAAGGTTTTTAACGAGTACATTTTATTTTTTCTCTCCTGTTCACCCTCTCTATCTGTTATTATTACATTGCTGATTATTACATTGCTTGTAAAGAGGTTTATTTTTTGGAATCATATTCCCCCTTTTCATGCTGGGTTAATGAATAGCCCACAACTGTCAATTTGGCAGCTGCATGACATCACAGTGTGAGTTTATGGTTTACGCACTGAAAGCATTATTTCATCACTGAGTCATTAGACAGGCTCTGCCCACGTGCTTGTTGTGCTACAGTCTAGGCAACATAATTAGAGAATCATCCTCAACAGGGATGTACACACTGACAGACCTTTCAAAGAGGAGGTGAACAGGGATGCTTTTTCACCCAAATTGGCAAATCTTGACAATAGTTTTCGCAAAGTGAGGTGCCATCCACTCGCATGTCTTCTTATAACCGAACCTGATTAAAGCACTATGTGATACTGGGGGAAATAAATAAAACGGCAGGCTCATCACCAATGCTTGTGGTTTGAATTAATGCCATGTCCTTCCCTGTCAGCAATGTGGACAATTTCTTCAGCACCACGGGATTAAAAAACAGAATCAAAGAATTCCAAACAAAAAAGGTGACTATAAGCTCAAAAGGAATGGTTAGGATGCTAATAAACTGCAAATTGAATGAAATGTTAGGAATGATTGGATCAAAGCCTTGAGCGATTCTGGCTGTTAATAATTATCTTGGTGTGTCTCCGTCTATTAAGCATAATAGTTATCACGTCATTCATTAGAACTCTGTGGCCCCTGTTTCTCGTTTGAACATTTAATGAGACATCGTCTTCTTCAGAAATAGATAATGAAACACAGTTGCACAGAAAAATATCATGGCTGAAGAAGCATGTTGAACGTGTTCGTGTTCTCAGCTTGAATTGAATCACAAACCTGATGGAGGTTATTATTGGTCCTTATTCTACAATATTTTTTATTTTTTTTTATTTAACCTTTATTTAACCAGATAAAAACATTGAGATAAAATCTCATTTTCAATGCTGACCTGGCCAAGAAGGCAGCAACGTTACACATAACACATAACACAAACATATAAAATACAGAGAACATAACAAAGAAAACAAAAGACGAAAAAGCAGTCACTACATTGTGCACATTAGGACAATAAAAAAAGTACACTACTTGTTACTGCAAGAGCAGCTGGTGGTGAGGACTTCAGACAACTTCAATTTAAAACATGATATAGAGACAAGTGCCCTCAGTTTAAGGCGTGATTGAAGGTCATTCCAAGACCAAGGACCATAATAAGAAAGACTCCTTTTTCCAGCCTCAGTCCGTACAGTAGGTACCTGGAACCGTATCCATCCACCGATACCAGAACTTGCTTCCACACAGCTGGCAGTGTGTGAGTGGACAGGGAGAGATTAAAAATATCAGTTACTGGTTGTGCTATCATCTGAGCTGCAGAACGGGTCAAGGCCGTCAGGCCCGGCAGACTTTTTAGGATCAATCGAGTGCAAACCCTGTAAGACTTCAGAGACCGAGAAATAAGCGAAATCAAAAACAGGGGAGTTCAACTCTTGACTATGGCTGTGAGTACGACCATTTAGAGAGTCATGACTTTGCTCATCAAAAATGTGACCAGCCTTTTTGAAGTGAGCATTAAAGGCATTAGACATACCATCTGAATCTGAAATAATCACTGACCTTCAGTTTTTGTGGGAAACTAGAAACCTTCTTGTTCTGAAGTGATTTCATTGTTTTCCAGAATTTGGAATGGTCATTAAAACAATCAGTGATTAAGCTCAGATAGTAATCAGCTTTAGCTTTTTTAATAAGGGCAGAACATTTATTTCTGAGGACACGAAAAAGAAGCCAGTCATCACTAGTGTTAGACTTTCTAGCTAAGGACCATTGCTTATTTCGATCATGAATGAGATCAGATAGTTCTCTAGTAAACCATGGAGTGTTCCTATTCTTAACTCTGAATTTTCTAAGGGGGGCATGTCTATTAATAATCGATAAAAAGTGATCAATAAAAAATTGGACGGCAACATCAACAGATGGAATTAACGCTGTGAAGTGCCATTTAACCTCCGCGAGATCGTGTAGGAAAGCCTGCTCAGAGAAGTGTTTGAAGCAGCGCCTGAGCACAATAAGGCCCTTGGCTTTGGGCAACTTAGTGCACCTAACGCAAGCGATAGTGCAATGGTCACTGATATCATTAGGAAAAACACCAACAGACACATACTTATGAGCTGCATTTGTTAGAATGACATCTATAAGGGTATCGTTATTGGGTTTGGCAGGGTTTATTCTAGTGGGACTATCAATAAACTGAGTTAAGTTCAATTCTAATGATCAATTATGTACAGTATTATTTTAAGATATTGTGGAATAAGTCTTGAACTTTTTCTTTGGTTGGTCTTCAATAAGATAATGGCACATAGTTCTGGTTAAAAGTGTTTTTTTTATTCTGATATTCTGATAATAAATATAATTTTTTCTCAGCAGATAATGAACTTTCACCGCCTCGTTTTTGTCTTAAAAGCTTTTTTAGCATAAAGGCTCTAAAGACCCAGTGTACACGATACCTGCTCTGTAACAAAGAGAAACAGACAAAGTTAGCTACTCCATTCATCTTTACAATAATCTCATTAAATGTTTACTGCACCACTCCCCCCCCAAGTTATAACGATATTCTATTATTCTATTATAACCCATAATTCCAATGATAAGTCACTATAGAGAATATTTGACAGTTGTACATTGTAATTGCTCAGATAAATAAATAGAAATATTAATACACATTTTACCATATTTTTTTGAACATAATGTCTGTGGGTCAATAACAATGCCGTCAAAAGTGACGCATTGATTGCCCCCGTCCCCAGCAGCCCGTGACGTGAATAAATGCAAGAGAAGAGAATAACCACAATGGTCACATGCTGGCGTAATACGACACATGGAGGCTAGTGATGGGAATTCCGGCTCTTCTTGGTGAGCCGGATCATTTGGCTCGGCTCACCAAGAAGAGCCGGCTCTTTCGGCTCCCAAACGGCTCTTCAGTTTACCACATATTATACCTTTTATAATTCAATCAAATGTAGCCTTGTTTTGACTAATGATTTATATGTGTACACATATCACTTAAATTATTCAATACATCCTTTGTACGGAAGTATTCAAAAGTAAAAATGACATGTTTAATATCAATTATTTGCTGTGGCCAATTGTTTTCATTGCATTTACAGACCCTTGTATCTCTCTGATACCACCCAATGAATGCACAGACTTGCTTGTCGAACCACGCTACACAAAGCAGATAGCAACACCTATAACAAAACCCGAGGTGACAGGGCTTTCAGTGTTGCAGCTCCTAGACTGTGGAACAGCCTCCCAGTACATATCCGGACTGCTGAGTCTATTGAACTTTTTAAATCTCAGCTAAAAACTCACCTCTTTGCACTGGCTTTTAATACTAGTTGAACATTACATTTTTACATTTGTATGTGTTTTTTAAAAAATATTTTTCTAGTTATTGTGCTTTTTATCATGTTTTTAATTATTGTTTTATTATTGTACTCCCATTGTGTTATTTAATATGTATTGCCTGTACAGCACTTTGGTCAACTGAAGGTTGTTTTAAATGTGCTATATAAATAAATAAAGATTGAGATTGAGATAAAAACTTAAGCATAGACATTTTAAAAAATGGGCTACTCTATCGACATTTTAAAATTATATTTAAAGAAAAGGCCCTGACTAAACAGCAGGGCTCTATTTCAGTATTAACTATAGAAAAAAAGACAGCAACAGCTGACATCAAATCTTTGCCGAGCCCAAGGATAATCATAAATAAATAACATAGTGAAAATAAATATATTGCAATGCTCAGTACAGCAGCATCCAACCGTCTCTAATCATAAAAAAACATAATAAAAATAAATGTATTGCAATGCTCAAAACAGCAGCATCCAACAGTCTCTAATCCTTGGATATTACATGTCACTGCATGCATGCACGGAGCAGCTGTAGCGCGGAGATCATCATATCATTCTGTCTTGTATTACTTAACAACAACAAAATAACAAAAAAAAACGGCTCGTTCGCGGGCGCGAGCCGGCTCCCGTCGTTCACTTAAAAGAGCCGGCTCTTTGAGCCGGCTCGTTCGCGACCGACACATCACTAATGGAGGCAGGGTGCGCGTTCCAACTGTGTGGTGTGGCAGAGCAGGCTGAGAGGATTTCTCACACATAAGGAATTCAGAACAGAAATGATAAATTCCATCAATGCATTTTGCCGAAAATGGAGGGGGGGCTCACTTTAATAAGGATTCTCCCCTCGCAATCCATGTCCAAAATCAGCGGAAATCTCCAGTGCCAGCGTGCGTCCGGGACTCTTCCTCTGCGGGGGCAGCGATGTCACGGTGACCATTTAATCGACGCTTGCTGAGTTTATACTAGTGGAGAAATACTCGGAATGTTTGCTTTGGTGAAGTCTATTCTTATGCGTTTGGGAAGCTCACTTTTGGACCACAACTTGCGATACAACTTGACGTGAAGCTGCTTCTCAATGATGAACAGAGGAGATATCGAGCATACGCTTTGCTTTACTTCACATGAACGTATGGTGTATACATTTTTACACTACAGGAGATGAAAGCAGAAAGAAGAACGATGAATTTGTTCGTGTGGATATTAGTACTAAACTTTTTCTTGTGCTGGACCTCAGTTGACGCACAGGTAATTATGTATCCTTTGTTTTTAGCTAAAATGCTTTCACCCTATAATAAAAGTATGTTTTTAGAACTAAATTCATATGTATTGCCTTATAATAATCCCATCTTCAGCCTGTTCATTAAGGATGAATACAAATGTTAGCCGAATATTATTTTTGAAATTCACCAGCATAAAAGCTGCACTGGATTTATTGCCATAAAATGCAGGAACGCGCTTTACCTCTGATTATACACCGACCATTTTAATTGATCTTCCCTCAATTTAACAGTGTTGCTGAGGGGTTTCCCTTACACATACCCTTACAGATACAAACACATATAAATAAGCGGTCAGCCAGGGACCAGTATGAGTCATAAACGGTCTTTTTTTCCACAGTGTTTAGTGTATTTGCAGCTCTGTATCAGGCAGATATCTTTTTATAGATGGTCACACAAATCTCTGCAACACCAGCACTGCAGGAAGTATGTTTGCGTTTATAACTAATAGACTCCTCAAGAGCTTTTTGTCCCTGATTTGAGGGAGTTAAATAATCATCATCTGACAATGTTTCTCATTCTGTGTGAGGCTTGTGGGCGAGTAAAGTGTTGGCAACTGAATCACCATACTTAATTAGTCATTGACCTGTGAATAATCCAGTTTTTTCAGAGAACAGTGTAGCATGCAAAATGGTTGTTGTTTTGTCAATGTGTGAAATGTACTATTCATTGACTGGCTGTGTCGAGTAGTGGAACTTTTATTTTGAAGACTCAATGTGCAATTTTAGATTACAAACCGGAGCTACCAGGTTTTTTGGCTTCCCATTATAAAGTCATGTTTAATAAGACAACAAAGCTCAAGGACTTGTTGGTTTTGTTGACTTATTTAGAAAGTGTGGTAAATGTTTAAGGTTGGATCAGGAAGTAACAAAACCTAATGTGCATCATCAATTACAAACCAGAGCTAGAATGTTATTTCTTAACATTACGAAGAAAGTGCCAAGATTTTCCCGGAAGAAGTGTCACAGCAATCATTGCCTGAAATATGTCGACCCAATTGGACACTGTCTCTTTATTATAAGTAAAACGTTCAAACTAAGTGGACCCTTCTTCATTTCTGCAGCTTTCCAATATTGACTTGGAGGGTGATTTAAACAGCCAGATCAACATGTGTGGAAAACGAATGAATTGCTGCTTAAACGAGACATGCAGCATTGTTGCCTGTGACTACCAACCATTGCTTACTGTAAGGAAACCACAGCTTGCCTTTTATCTCTGAAATTAAAACTGATTGTTTGCGCTTATACTTCTCATCTCTCTCTCTGCATTTACCTTATTTTTTCCTCCAAGTTGATGAAGCGCTGCGCTCTTGTGCTGCACATGAGCCACAGGGAGTTAGGGTTGGAAGGTGGTGGGCGTACAGATCACAAGCCTTTGATTCCAGAGGCTGAGCTGTGCATTTGTCTCAAGTATGGTTAGGAGTGGGCTACAAAACGGTCAGGCAAAGATAGAGCTTAGCTGAACATCTGCAGCTGTTTTTGTAAATATTATATTATATTAATTGTGTTCCGGAGTAACTTACACCAAGTGCATTGAACCATAGAGAAAAAAAAAGAAAAAAAGCAAGAATCCTGCAGGCACAATAGCTATTAATAAGCCAAATCATCGTAAGCATAATTGTATTGGATACATAAGAGAGAATGTTCCTACTGATCAAGGCGTTGTTGAAACAGGTGGGTTTTCAGTCTACGATGGAAGATGTTTTAACTTTCTTCCTTCCTATTGAAAAAGTCTTGATGATCTTCTTAATATTTAACCAAGCGTGGCCATTTATAATCAGCAAACTTCAATATCTTTAAAATATTCAGCCTCTAACCTTGTTAGTCCAAGCTTTCAAAAAGCATTCCCATTCATGATTCTGAGATTTCATAACAATGGTGAGACAATCAGTATGCCTTATTGGTCTGCTAAGCAGCCGGTCTGAAATATTCTTTCATACGGTTCAATACCCTTTACAAGGACAACAGGCTGAAAGGTTAAGAGACAGCATGACTCCATAATGACCCTTTATTTAAATGTTCAGTGCGTGAATGGATTTAAAATGGAATCATTGCCATCCACACGCACAAGTCTATATGGTACCCACTTTGACAGAAATCAAATCAAGTTTTATTTATATAGCACATTTAAAAGCGATTTTTGGTCGAGCCAAAGTGCTGTACATGTAATAAAAACACTTTACTACAATCACAATAAAAGATAATAATTTACAACAGAAATATAAAAAACAAAAACACAGGGAATAGTCAGGTGTCATACTCCGCTCTGACTAGAAGGCCAGAGAGAAGAAGTGTGTCTTTAGTGAGGATTTAAAAACCCTAGTGTCTGGGCCGACCTCACATGGAGGGGCAGAGTGTTCCAGAGCCTGGGGCCAGCTGCTGCGAAGGCTCGGTGCCCTCGGGTTATTAGCCTGGTCTTGGGCACTACCAGCAGCAGCTGGTCAGCAGACCTTAAAGCTCTGGCTGGGGTGTAGCGATGGAGGAGTTTGGCTATATAGGCCGGAGCCAGCCCATTTAGGGCTTTGAAAACAAATAAAAGGATTTAAGAATCAATTCCGAACCGAATTGGAAGCCAGTGTAGTGAGGCCAGAATTGGGGTGATGTGGTCACGCTTTTTGTGTCCAGTCAGAAGACGTGCAGCTGCGTTTTGGACTAGCTGCAGACGTTTAATTGAGGCCTGGTCCATACCCACATACAGAGCGTTGCAATAGTCCAGTCTCGAGGTAACAAAGGCATTAATAACCCTTTCTAGGTCTTTAAAACATAAAAACGACTTGGTCTTGGCCAATAGTCTTATTTAAAAAAAGAATAAGACACAAGTCTAAATCTGTGTCTTAATGTGGTTCTCAATACAAAAATAGCTTGTTTGTTCACTCTCGAGTTAATTGTCCTGACATTACAGGGTTGCCACAATAAGACATATTGCTTTTTTTGTGTGATTGGGAAACCAAATAATAAAATGAATGAACATATTGTACAGTTACTATAAAACAAATCTTTAGGGGCTAATTGGCTTCTTTAGATAATAAGCTTTGTATCCCGCCAATCCAGTCCAAGGGTATTTCACATTTTAAGTTTTTCAGGATATCCTTAAAGGAAAATAATTGTATGCTTTATCTGAATTGCTAAATACTCCTTTCTGATTGGTCAATTGCAGAATTGATAGTCTGTTATTTCCTTATATTCGACCACTGCTCTGAAAAACGTATATTTTGTATAGATGCAGTTATAATGTTCACACACAGCAAGCGGATCAAAAAAACATTTATTATATTACAATATTTTTACCTGTAACTTAAAAATAGTATGGTCACTTTAAAGCAAGTTTTATCGACTTTACACCTACTTTGATTTGGAAAACATGTAACTTCTTACAGCTATGTCCTTCAGATAAAAGCGTCAGTGCTATAGATAGTATATATACTGTATAGTTGTATGTGTAGGGTCATCACATGTTGAGTATAAGCATTTTACAGGCATGTATTTCCTTGAAATACATTATTCTACTTTGAAGGATTCAAAGGCTTTATTTGTGATATGCACAATAGCTACAACATAGTTATGGCAATCACAATCTTGAGTCTCAGTCTCTTCCAACAACGCAAAACTGAAAATACTGAATATGAAAGGGAAAAACATTCAATTGTGCAATCAAACAGGATGCTATAGACGAAGTGGTTCAAGTCAGTGCAAGAATAAAAACACATCTACAAATATAATAGTATAAGATAGAACAGAATGGAAAATACATAAGGTAGAGGAGAATACATACTGTATACTGTAATAATACAATGGAAATGAGGACTATACACATTATGTACAAATGAAGAGTGTATTATGAACACACAAAATGTGAAGGCATTTCAGAGAGCTCAGGAGTTCAACAGTCTGATAGCCTGTTGGTTAAAACTGTCCCTGAGTCTGTTGGCTTTTGCGTGATGCTGCTGTTTCTTCTTCCAGATGATTGCAGACAGAACTGTGTGTTGCTGTGGTGATGTGGGCCTTTAATAACCCTGGGGGCCTTCTTCCTGAGATGCTGGGTGAAAAAGGTCCTCTATACTGTAGATGGCAGCTCAGTCCTGGTGATGTGCTGTGCAGTTTTCACCACCCTCTCTAGAGTCTTATGGTTGAGGGCGGTGCAACTGCCGTACCAGGCCGTGAAGCAGCTGTTTAGGATACTTGAGTCCATGTTGAACCTCTGCAGCCTGTGGAGGAAGAAGAGCCGCTGTCAAGCTGTCTTTGGTGATAGTGTTTTTGCGATGGGTCAATGTAAGGTCCTCAGTGAAGTGAACCTCGAGAAACCTGAAGCTGCTGACTCTCTTCAACGTATTCCGTTGATGTTGATGGGGGCGTGTCCCTCTCTGTGTTGCTTCCTGTAATCCACAACCAGCTTATCTTTGCTGATGTTTAGATGGAAGTTTGTTTTCCTGGCACCGAGATGCCAGGGCTCTGACAGGTGTGTCTTCACCAAACAATGGTGCTGGAGTTGTGTACGTCAGTGCACGCATTGGTGCGTGAAAAGGGAGTAGATGAGATGGCTAAGAACGCAGCCCTGAGGGGCTCCAGTGTTGAGGGGGAGGTGGAAGGATGTGATGTTTCCCACCCGAACTGCCTGGGGTCTGCCTGTTAGGAAGAGAGCCCAAGGTCCCTGAGATTAATAATGCCCCTTTCACACCAACGCAGCTCCCGTTCTAGCTCCGTGCTTGCGCTCTTCTGGTTCGGAACCGGTTTTTCTTTTCAGCCCCCGTTTTGTTCACACCGCCCAGAGCCCGAGTGGTGCTGCGTCATTGCGTCATTGTTTGCGTCATGACTAGGGCTGTCAGTCGATTAAAATATTTAATCGCGATTAATCGCATGATTGTCCATAGTTAATCGCGATTAATCGCAAATTAATCACACATTTTTTATCTGTTCTAAATGTACCTTAGAGGGATATTTTTCAAGTTTTTAATACTCTTATCAACATATGAGTGGACAAATATGCTTTATATGTTTGTTTATTATCATTTGAACAATGACAAATATTCTCATGAATATTAAACACAACAACCTCTGAACATTACAAATATTCGATTCAACCTGGAACCTCTCTCATACATTAATACAATACAGTTTGTGTGTGTGTGTGTGTGTGTGTGTGTGTGTGTGTGTGTGTGTGTGTGTGTGTGTGTGTGTGTGTGTGTGTGTGTGTGTGTGTGTGTGTGTGTGTGTGTGAAAGAATGTGGAGACACTGATGGATCGTTGGAGAGCTATGTGCAGCTCAAGGCATATATGCTCGAACGGAAGCTGCAATCATGTTGCGCGCACTATCCGTGCTGAGTGTGCTGACTTTTCGTACAATGTCCCACTGTCTGGCTACCTGCATAAAGTCAAGTGCTCGGCGCAGTTGTCGGCGAAATGTCATTGAAACAGCTCCTTATATCCGTTAGCGCAGCTAGCTAGCGCCAGATGCTAACAACAACAACACGTAAGGTGTGCCTCGCTCGCGCAAGTCGCGCCACACATACACACACCCTCCCGGTCCTCCCGATGGCCAGTCCGGGCCTGCCGGTGAGCGTGGAAGTGTGGTCTGCCACAAGCGGGCGGCAGGAGCGGGGCTGTCAGCATCAGCTTGTAGATGGTATTTTAAACTCGATGCGCTCTGAAACTACGGGGCGGGGCGGCCGAGGACAAAAAATACACATGCGTTAATTGCGTTAAAATAATTAGTGGCGTTAATTTTTTTTTGCGTTAACGCGTTAACTTGACAGCCACACACAGTTGTGTGTGTTGCTGACCAGAATTTGTGGCATTTTGTTGTTGTTGATCAGATTAATCCCGCCTCCAACGTAAGCGTGACGTATGCGGTTCTTGCTTCTAGACGGACAATTTTTTCGAGCTTGGTAAGAACCGATTTTCGGGAAAAAGAGCCGGCTCCACTGCGGTGTGAACAGGAAAAACCGGTGCTTATCAGGCTCAAGCTCCGAACCGGCCCTGGAACCGCGTTGGTGTGAAAGGGGGGTCAGTGTATGATTTGGTCATTGGATTTTCTTTTCACAAATGGAAATTCAAAAACAAAAAACGACTGGATATTTGATTTTCGTTTTCAAATTGAAAAACCAAAATTGAAATACAAGGCGTTTTTCTTTATCACGGTCAAAAAGGGATTTACTAAACTTAAAAAACGGGATGATTTTCATTTTCTACTTCTCAAAACAACAAATTAAATCACTAGAAAACAGAAACAAAAAAAACCCCCGTTTTTTCATATTCTGCTACCGGAAGTTACCTTACAAAATAAGAGCGCAGACGAAACTCACGGAAGTGATTTCAAAACAAAAGCACTCGTAGGCTATGCTAAAATCACACTTTGAATCACTACAGTATCCTGTTGAAGGAACTGTGATTATTATAAACAAGGAGAATTTAGCAATCACAATGAAAACGGCCAAGACACACTTTGAGCCCAGAAAATGAATGTTATAAAGGGCTGTAAATATAATAGGCCTATTTCTAAAATGGACAACATTGTTAGGAGATTTCAACTATACAGCGATTCTGCACTGCGGTCAACTCAGCCGTCTGGGTGACCAGATGTCCCGCTTTGTGCGGTATTGCACAGCATTTACACGACTTTTGGTGCGTCCCGCAAATTGAGACGATGTCCCACATATTTCATTTTGATTGGCTAAAACGCTTTCTAAAATCTGATTTATGACATGAATCAGATGCGGAGAAAGGCCGGCTCGGTTCGCTGACGGCCGGCACCGCCCTTTATTATTATATGTTTTAAACTTTATATATACAGTCTATGGTTTTAAACGGCATCATGTAAGTTGCGCTGACAGGCGACAGAGGTTCACAGTGCACCCCCCCCCCGCTGACAGTTCACGAGCGTCCATAGTGTCTCTCCACCCCCCGTTGACAGTTCACGCGTCGACATTGCATTTACATGTCCCACGGGCCACATTGTCCCACACAAACATACTCTAGAGCAGAAGTGGCTTGACACAGTAAAATTACTTCAATGTATTGTTAGTAGTAATATCCTTCAGCAAAGTAACACACTCTGTCACTCTGGTTGCCCTCTTATGATGCTGCTGTCTTTTAATATATAACTATTTTTCAGCCGCTAATTCGTTCCTCGCAGATTCTTCAGTCTCATCAGCCTCATCCTTCCATCAGTCTCAGTCAACGCTCAAAGTGTGTCTTGGCCGTTTTCATTGTGATCGCTAAATTCCCCTTGTTTATAATAATCACAGTTCCTTCAACAGGATACTGTAGTGATTCAAAGTGTGATTTTAGCATAGCCTACGAGTGCTTTTGTTTTGAAATCACTTCCGTGAGTTTCGTCTGCGCTCTTATTTTGTAAGGTAACTTCCGGTAGCAGAATATGAAAAAACGGGGGTTTTTTTTGTTTCTGTTTTCTAGTGATTTAATTTTTTGTTTTGAGAAGTAGAAAATGAAAATCATCCCGTTTTTTAAGTTTAGTAAATCCCTTTTTGACCGTGATAAAGAAAAACGCCTTGTATTTCAATTTTGGTTTTTCAATTTGAAAACGAAAATCAAATATCCAGTCGTTTTTTGTTTTTGAATTTCCATTTGTGAAAAGAAAATCCAATGACCAAAACATACACTGACCAAGGGGCATAATAGGCCTGAAGGGTACAATGTTGTTGAATGCTGAACTGTAGTCAATGAAAAGCATTCTCACATACAGTAAGTGTTCCACTGAACCAGACTTCACCTTGAATGTTCTCTTTGCACCGTTAAATAACTCTCTTAAATGAGGCTTGAAGGTTTAGCCTACAAATGTTATGATGTAATTGACTAAATAAGGATGTTTAAATTCAACCAACTTTTGTGGAATTCACTCTTCTCGAATCGACCCTCCTTTGCATATGGGTTTTTAAGCTGGTAAATCATATATTATAATTCACCAAAGTAAAAAATTGGGATGTTTAAATGGGTTTTAATGCTCCTACAGAACCACTGTTTCACATACAGTGAAGCAGCACAGACTCTCCCAGTATACTCTTCTTGGAAATGGGAACTTGCACAAAACAGTTTCTCTGTTCGCTCCTTTTCAATTCGTCTGTCATATGGTTTGACAGTTTGAGTCGTTTTTGGCACAGATGACTCAGGCACTGTCATGGGAAATAACATTTTCAAATTATGTGACTCTAACCAAATAGCCCCAGTAATGACTCTAAACTCTGACAAAAACATAGTTACATGGTGCAGACGCCCCCACCAACCCATGAATGAATGGCAAAAATCAGGGAATTGAGCAGCAAGTCCAGTAAACTTTGACTTCAGTCTTCTACCGATAGAAATCATGTTTCTTTAAGAAAAAAAAAAGACTACATTAGCAGGAAATATATATATATTATAAGAAGGGCTTAAGTCTTTAGATCAATTATTTGAGGCTTTAGCTGTGTATCTACTAGCAGTGTTACCGGCACAACTTGATGTAAAATGCATAGGGATTAGATTAGAAATAAACAGATGCAAATATAATCTCTCTCATGAAAATAACAAAAGTGTTATATTAAAACAACCTTGGATATGATCACATTTTGTTTTTCTCTACTGTGTTCCCCTGCACGTGGTTGCCAAAAAAGTTGACCTGGCACGCAGCAGATGGCTACCGAAATAAATAAGGCAAATTATAATTTGCATACATACAAAGACGGTGACAGATGTGATCTTGTTTGTTTTGCTCCACAGACGGGGTTCGATGTCCCTCTCACTGCACACGAGCAGATGTACATCCTTTATGAAATCAAACAGCAGTGCTACCAGAACCTCTCCAACATTGATCCCGGGGCCACAGGTACATAACATGCACAGAAAGTCGCTTTGATGCTAAATAATTCTGCACTCTTTGGATTATTTGGTTAACATTTTTTGGGAAATATTGTTATGTTTATGTGAATGCGATACTGTTTCAAATGGGAAAAATGGCAGGTCAATCTTTTAAAGCCCTTGGTTTTTTGTCTGTTATGTGGATCATTTCAGTTTTTTAGTTTTTGTTGTTAATGGTTCCATGATTTCAAAGGCTTTGAGGATTGACAGATGTGTAAGACAAATACAATGCTTACCAACACCATAAAAGAAAAAGACAAAGGGGCTAACGTTAGCTTAAAAGCTGCTAGCTTCAAGGATCGGCTTGCTCACACTGGATTAATACTATACAATGTACTATTTTCCAGAGGTGGGAGTAAGTCCTACATGTGCAAGTCATGAGCAAGTCTCAAGTCTTGACCTACAAGTATCAAGCAAGTCCCAAGTCACTGTGGTGAGAGTCAAGCAAGTCAAGTCAAGTCATTGCTCAGGTCAAGTCAAGTCAAGTCAAGTCATACGAAATTCTGATGAATAAGCACAGTTTCCGCATTTAAATCAGTTAAAAGACAGTGGTTATGAAAATGGATTCAACCCACACTATGATCTTCATTACATACACAGTTAATCATTTAAAATCTAATTTAGACCGATGACAATCATATTAGATTCATATTAACCCCAGAACTGCAGACAATATAGCTAGGACTCAGTCAAAAAGTCTGTTCAAAAAGGCAGAATTCCAGGTAAGAAAATCATATATGGCATTTGCCATTACACATATTTAATTTACATTTCTGTAAACACTAGAACCCAACAGCGTCAGCACCTACATAGATATCATTTTCAAATCATTTAATTTGTTTCTCTTCATAATTTCCTTATAAACTAAGTAGGACGATTTAAAACTCAGTTAATTGGGTTCATTTAGAAATTGCTTCAGTTTATCATCATCACAGATCAAAAAGTTCAGATTCATTTTACAATAAATCAAGGAATGATGCACTTCTACAAACAACAACAACATAATTAAAACATTTAAACAAACTACTAAAAGTAGATGAACTACATTATTCAAAAGTTTACAGTAACTTCTGATAATAACACAGGGGAAATAAACGAGGCATCTCTCTCTCTCTCTCCTCTCTCTCTCTCTCTCTCATCTCTCTCTCTCTTCTCTCTCTCTCTCTCTCTCTCTCTCTCTCTCTCTCTCTCTCTCTCTCTCTCTCTCTCTCTCTCTCTCTCTCCTCCTCTCCTGACAGCCCGTCAGTATCAGGGTTAAGTACAAATGAATCCCTTGGCGGTTCTAGTGTTAATTTACCGTTTTGTCTTCTCTTTGTAATGCTTAATCGATTTGAAACCAAGTCTAACGTAGCTTAAACTTAACGTTAGCTTTCTAGCTAACACAACACATTCACGCACCTTTCTCTGTGGCTTTTTTTGTAGTGACGAATGAAGTTGGATGTTGTGGTGGTCGTGTCACTGATCTTTATGCTGCAGACCCTGCATACCGCTGTTCTCTTCTTATTAGCGTCATCGATAACATAATCCTTGAATCCAAACTTCACTATTTTTGGAGTAACGCTAGCCGCTGCCATGTTAACTGACACTCCTGCCGTCTAATGGGTTGCCAGGTTTGCGCGCACAGCGCTATAATCACCCAATCACGTTTTTCGAAAAAACTAAACGTAATATCTCAATACAAAAACAAACGCAAATATTTCATTTTAAACAGACAAGTCCTTTCAAGTCATCTGTCTCAAGCTTAAGTCAAGTCTCAAGTCATGAATACCAAGTCAAAGTCAAGTCAAGTCTTTTATCAATGTTAGTCAAGCAAGTCTCAAGTCAAAAAATATGCGACTCGAGTCTGACTCGAGTCAAGTCATGTGACTCGAGTCCCCACCTCTGCTATTTTCTGAAGAAGGCATTTTTATTTTAAACCTGTGACTTGGTAAAATAATGTTACCTACTGAGTCAAATATTGTTTACCTCATTTATTATCCACAACTTGGGCCCTTTCTCATGTCTTCAAATGTTCCTCCTCGACTCCCCTCCTCGACTCGCAGAGACTGGATATATCCCCCCCCCCCTCTCTGGTCGCTACAATGAGGGAAATAAATGACGGGCCAAAAGTTTTATTTACAAGTATTACAAGTAAGCAGAGGACACCAAACCAACTGAGACCTGTCTGTCCGCTGCATCTATGCACACACTGCACCACACACACCTACACCACACACACGCACCTACAGCTCCTAAAGCATATAATCAGGCTACAGCCGTTGTGTATTTTATTATGTGAAGCACTAAATGGTTTTAGAAAAATATCGACTTTGTTTGTAGATATCTACTAAACTAAAGCAAATAAAGAGAGTAGGCCTGTTATACTGAGTGATATGATATATATTATACACACTGCTCTGCTTTCTGCACGGACCTCACAGCTGTTCTCACTGTAAACATCGCGTCGCGATGAAAGCAGTTAATAAAATAATACCCAGGGGATGCATGCAGAGCTGTCATTGGCTGAGATAAGTCCGGCCGTGCGTCTCGACTCTTTGAAACATCACTGTTGCCGGAAATGCATCCACGAAGGAGCCGTGGAGGACTGTGGAGGACCCATCAGTGTATCCTCGGTTATAGCTCCTCCAGAGAGCCTCCTCGACGCTCGATGCTCGGTCCTCGATGTGCATTTCGAGAAATGAGATGTCCTTCAACATGGCGCGCTAAAATTCATTTCCGGGTCACTACCGGAGGACCGAGGAGTCGAGGAGTCGAGGAGGGACATTTGATGACATGAGAAAGGGCCCTGGTGTCTTTTTCCTCTCAGTGCAAACTTACATGCAAGAACATTCAAATATGTTTTTAGGCTACATGTTATGTCAGAATCTTCAAAGGTTCCTAAACTACTCAACTACCCAGTTGAGAAGGCTACTGTCTACAAAAAAATCTTACATTTGGTTATGTTTGTATGTTAATAAATCTCAAAGGAATATGGGAAATTGCAAACTAACAAACAAAAAGGGCAACCCAAATTTAGCATCGATCTAAAATATGACATGGAAACACAATGTGAAATGCAAAAAGGTGAATGCCTTTCAGTTGTGTTTCTTCATTATAAATAGTGAAGTATTGTTAAGCTGCTCTTTTATTGGTAAAAGCTGTCAGTAAAGTTCTGACAGGAGCTTTTGAAATGCAAGTATTCAATTTTCTTTCTTCCACTTTAGTTCAGCTAACAATAAAGGTTGATAGCTGCCAAATGAAACCTCCATCAAGTGCTTTCCTGCCCTTCATCAACTACCCACTCTCTGTTTAGATGCTCTCATTTAATTATTTCTCTGTTGTCAGTCAACCTTATAAGCATACTTTGTGGTTTGATTGTTGCTTATGAATGAAAATGCAGACAAACCATGACTCTGCTGTCATTACACTCTGATCAAACAAGGCCGTTGTCTGTACATTCAATAAAAAACAAATGTTATTAGCGTGATTTGCACAGTAGGCTACAGTTTGGCATTGCATATTTGCACATTTTTACATAATTTATACTATTTATTGATGTAGTATTTATTAAATGATTCAACGGTGTTCTGACAACATAGTGTATTGGCACCCCCTAGTGGCAAAAGTCGGTACTGTAGCTTTAAGGCACCAAATAGTGCGACTCTCCTTCTTGTGTTTTAGTTTACACAGCAAAGCCATGCAGAGCACATCGTAGCTCAGTTCTATGCCACAGATCATTTTGTTTTAATCCTTGGAGTAGATCTGTCTGTAAGTATACAAACTTACCTGTTTCTACTGTACATACTGCCCCTAGGTTCAATTCTCACAAAACATAACATTCCCTTCCACTGCTACGCCGACGATGTACAGATCTATCTGCCTCTCAAAGCAAATGTCAAACACTCACTACAGCAGTTGATGGACTGCTTAGCAGAGATAAAATCCTGGCTGAGCAAAAACTTTCTCAACCTCAATGAGAGCAAGACTGAGGTCATCTTTTTTGGACCGCAACCTCCAGCCTCTCCGGTTGATATTCTGGGCTCTATCAAAAAAAACATCCTCCCCTCGGTCATGAACCTTGGAGTGACCTTCACTAGCACTTTTAAATTCGACAAGCAGGTCAGCACCGTAGTAAAATCCTGCTTTTTTAAAATAAGACTATTGGCCAAAACCAAGTCGTATTTATCTTTTAATGACTTAGAAAGGGTTATTAACGCCTTTGTAACCTCGAGACTGGACTATTGTAACGCTCTGTATGTGGGTATGGACCAGGCCTCAATTAAACGCCTGCAGCTAGTCTAAAACGTTGCTGCACGTTTGCTGACTGGCCACAAAAAGCGTGACCACATCACCCCAATTCTGGCCTCACTACACTGGCTTCCAGTTCAGTTCAGAATTGATTTTAAAATCCTTTTATTTGTTTTTAAAGCACTAAATGGGCTGGCTCCGGCCTATATAGCTGAACTCCTCCAGCGCTACACCCCAGCCAGAGCTTTAAGGTCTGCTGACCAGCTGCTGCTGGTAGTGCCCAAGACCAGGCTTAAAACCCGAGGGCACCAAGCCTTCGCAGCAGCTGGCCCCAGGCTCTGGAACACTCTGCCCCTCCATGTGAGGTCGGCCCAGACCCTAGAGGTTTTTAAATCTAAACTAAAAACACACTTCTTCTCTCTGGCTTTCTAGTTAGAGCAGAGCACGACTCCTGACTTTTCCGTGTGTTTTATTTTTATTTTGTTTTTAAGATATATCTGTTGTAATTTATTGTCATTTACTGTGATTGTAGTAATGTGTTTTTAATACATGTACAGCACTTTGGCTCGACCAAAAATCGCTTTTAAATGTGCTATATAAATAAAACCTGATTTGATTTGATTTGTGTGCCAAGTTATGTGTTTAAAAAATGTGGTTTAATTGATTGTGTGGTTTCAATGTTTAAGATAAGCTAAGCTAACTAGCTGCTAAGCTAACGGACATAGCTCATTCTTAGCATAG